TTGGGAGGAGGGTAAATAAGAAGGAAAGATGCTGTGAAGGATGGTGGTAGAAAAGATCAAATCACACATGGTAAAATTACTGTCTAAGTCTTTTAAACATCATATCTGATTTATATCCTGTAATTATGCATTTATATATCATTCCCCAGTTCCTTTTCTTTAGGTAAAATTCACTTAACAAATAGATTGGCAAAGATGCTTTCTGTTGAAATTCCCACATTAAAAATGTATTTGTTTTTAGATAGTGTGAACTTTTGAAATAACTATCTCTGTTATGAACATTAATGTGTTGTCTTAAAAGAACAACAAAAAAGAGAGTTTACATGGAAAAAAAAAAAGAAAGAAAGAAAGAAAGAAAGAAAGAAAGAAAGAAAGAAAGAAAGAAAGAAAGAAAAGGCAGCAGCTGATTAGCAATGATGGCTCTTCCTGGAGACAAAAGGAAATGAGACCGAATACAAAGTACAAACTGTGAGGAAAGACAAAAATGTAGACCTCCATGTATAGCACAGAATATCAATATATTCTGAAAACTGATTCTCAGAGTGCCTAAAGAAAAATAAATGAATGGAACTATATCAAACTAGAAAACTGCTCCACAGCCAAAGAAAGGAGATGAAATTTGCCAGCCAGAAGGGAGCCAACCAGAAGGGAGGCAGCCAACCAGAAGGGAGATGAAATTTGCAAACAGTAGCTCCGACAAAGGTTTAATTTCCAAAAGAGAGATATACATTTTATTTATTTATTTACTTATTTTAAATACTCATAAAACTCAACACCTAACAAACAACCCAATTAAAAAGTGGGCAAAGGATCTGAAAATACACCTCTCCCAAGAAGGCTTACAAACAGTCCCAATAGATATATGAAAAGATGCTCAACCTCACTGGCAATTGGGGAAATGCAAACCAAAACTACAGTGAGATACCACCTTACACCTGTTAGAGTGGCCACTATCAATAAGACAAGCAACAAGTGTTGAAGAGGTTGTAGAAAAAAGGGAACCCTCATTCACTGCTGGTAGGAACGCAGACTGGCACATCCACTATGGAAAGCAGTCTGGCAATTCCTCAAAAAATTAAGAATAGAGCTACTCATGACCCAGCAATTCCTCTCCTGGGTATACACCTGAAAAACTCAAAATCATGTATTCGTAAAAATATAAGCACCCCTGTGTTCATTGCAACATTATTCATGGTAGCCAAGACATGGAAACAACTAAAGTGCCCCACACTAGAGGATTGGATAAAGAAGATGTGGTACACCCTAGCTGGTTTGGCTCAGTGAATAGAGCATCAGCCCGCAGAATGAATGGTTCTGGTCAAGGGCACATGCCAGGGTTACGGCCTGGATCCCCAGGAGGGGGTGTGTAGGAGACAGCCGACCCATGATTCTCTCTCAGCACGAATGTTCCTGTCTCTCTCTCCCTCTCCCTTTCTCTCTAAAATCAATTTTAAAAATATTTTTTTAAAAGAAGATGTGGTACATATGAACAACGGAAAACTACTCAGACATAAGAAAGGATGCAATAGCACCATTTGCAACAACATGAATGGATGGACCTTGAGAACATTATGCTAAGTGAAATAAGTCAGTCAGGAAAAGCTAAAAACATATGATTTCACTCATATGTGGAATATAAAACTGAAACTCATGAACACAAACAGCAGTGTGGTGGTTGCCCGAGGAAAGGGGGTGTGGGGAGAAGGGGTTCCTAATATAAGGTGACAGAAGATTTCACTTTGGGTGGCGGGCACTACGTGCAATATACAGATCTTTTAACGTAGAAACCCACCCCTGAAACCTGTATGTTCATGTTGACCACTGTCACCCCAATCAATTTAACACGTAATATAAAAAATAAGAATGCCTAAATACAAATTTATCAGCCTAGAACTTTAAAAAATGAGATAGTTGGACGTATTTTCATCATGATTGGTAATGGATTCGGGCCCCAGTCTTTCCACTTACCCATTGTGACACTTCTGACAACCCACTGGACCTCTCTGAGCCTGGTTTTTTCATTGACAAATGGTAGATTCCTGCCCTCCTTCCCACAGGATGTTCTGAGAGGCTGAGCAGATATAAGGTGCTGCTCTTATTAAATCAAATGGCATAATCACATGGAAAGCTGTCACCCGAGCCCTCAGCAGGTTCTCAAACTGTGAGTGGAATCTGAATTGAATTAGCATTATTTTTAAAACTCAGCGAGCATTTTCATAATCATAAAGTGATATATAAGCATCGAAAATGAATACATTTATTTCAGAGAGTGGAAAACCAAGGTCTACAGAAATATCATAATTCCTTCTTATTCTTTGCTGTATACTCAGCACCTATCACCATGTCTAGTATAAAATAGATCCACAATAAATATGTATTAAATGAATAAATGAATACTTCTCTCTGAGTCCCCTTCTGGTACTCTCATTTGCAAGATCTCCCTATCTCTGTTTTCAAGATATTCAGGGTATTCACTGAGGGAGCTCAATGAAATTTACTTTTTCTCTTTAGGGAAGGTGTTTTATTTATATATAAGAAAGTTAACAGTATATGTCTAAATTAAAATTTAATAAGCCTTTGGTATAAACAGAAGTGGCTATTGTTCAGTGTTTCTTATGCTATAAGAGGCACACTGTTAATCACAAGTTAATACTTAGGGAAAGGAAAATAGATCCCAAGGGTTTTGAAGCATTGAAGGAAAAGACCTGTCCCTTTAAAAAGTCTGCATCTTTGTGCCAATGAAACAGACCTGTAATATACAAGAAATAATAATGATGGTGGCGATAATGACTTTTACAATAAACGCAAAGGCGGAGATGACAATGAATTTCATAGTGACAAGTACAATTTTGTTTCTTAACACGGATAGTGCAGGTAATCTAGTGGCCAACTTTGCCTGTATACAATGTTACCTGTGTGACTGTCCTTAAATGTTTGGTTAACCCCTTACATTATAAATTTTGACCTTCAGATAATTGAACACAAGCCTAAGCATCAACTTTTGGATAGAACTTTGATTGATATACATACATACTAGGCCCAGTTCCTCTGTCTACATCTCACCTCACCCAAGACTTCAGATGCCCACTCTCATCATGGAGATCCTTGCTTTCTATGAATGAAACTCTGGACTTTGAGTTTCAGGAGGTGCCCATCTGGGCAGTCACCCTGCATCCTGTGCTTTTCAGGAGGTGCCACAGTTCTAAGGGGGCTCCTGAATCAGTCCTGAATCAACCCTACAGTTCCACAGTTCTATAGGGGAAAGGAAAAGGCTCCCTGCTAATGCTAAGAAAGACCAGAAGATTCTCCACATTTGTGTGTTTACAGCGTGTCCCCTAGTATCACAGAAACAAAGCTGAATGGCCCTTTCCTACTTCCTGCTATCACCTGTTTTTGTGTGATAAATTTTGTCTTGTAGCAACACAAGTACCTATCAGTAGACAAATGAATATATACACTGAGTGGCCAGATTATTATGCATTCAGAGATCATAATAATCTGGCCACTTAGTGGATATTGCTTAGCCATGAAAAAGAATGAATTATAGCCTAGATGGTATTGTACTAAGTGAAATAAGTCAGACAGGGAAAAACAAATACCACATGGTTTTACTTAATATGTAGAATCGAAAGAACAAACAAAACAGAAACAAACTCATAAATAACAGAGAACAAACAGATACACTAGATGGGAGGCGGAATAAGTGTTGGGTGAAAAAGGTGAAGGGATTAATAAATACAAATTGGTAGTTACCAATCACAGTATAGGGAATATAGTAGAAAATAGTGTAATAACTATGGACACAGCCGAAACCGGTTTGGCTCAGTGGATAGAGCATCAGCCTGTGGACTGAAAGGTCCCAGGTTCGATTCTGGTCAAGAGCATGTACCTTGGTTGCGAGCACATCCCCAGTAGGGGGTGTGCAAGAGGCAGCTGATCGATGTGTCTCTCTCATTGATGTTTCTAACTCTCTATCCCTCTCTCTTCCTCTCTGTAAAAAAATCAATAAAATATATTTTTAAAAAATAACTATGAACACAGACAATAGGGCGGTGAAGGCCTGGGATGGGGGAGGAGGGGAGAACCAGGTGGAAAGGAACAATTTTATAAAAAATCAATTAGAAAATCTTAAAAGTAAAGAACAGCCCTGAACTACCCCCCTCCCACAATTGCTTTTCTCATTGATCATATCCAGAGTGCTCTCCAGGACAAGCAAGCTGACATGCTTGGTTCCTCCCAGGTTCATTAAATACATTCTCTTCCAGCCTCCCACATGCCACCTTCATTCCTAAAACTTGCTTTTTTGTCACTATACAACGTCTCTTCTCTCAAAACATGTTTCACAATTCAACTCCTCCTAGAAACCCACCTGAATCAATCCCATTTCAACTGTCACCTCATTCTTCAGCTTCTCAGAGCTGAGGGACAGTATCGATGGCCAGAGTAATTATTAATGATAACATTAACAATGTATTGAATTTTTGTCCAGTGCCAGGCACTCTGTTATATATTTTACATGTAATATTTCTAATCCTCGCACCCTGAGGAATGGGCATTACTATCCCTAATTTACAAATGAGAGCTGAGGCTAGCGTGACATGTTCAAGGTCACACAGTTACTAAGTGACAAATCTAGGGTTCAACCCATACTAAGGTTCAAACCAAGCAAGCTGCCGAGCCTGCTTCTTCTCTTGGCAGATGCTCCCTGTGGTACTGCATTGAATTGATGGCAAACATTCTTTGCAAGTCACTCCCTCCTCCTCAACTACCATCACCAAAGGAAATGTATGTTTCCCTTGTATATCCTCAATATGCTTGTTGAATTGAGTTGAACAGCTTAAAGCCAGAAAACACGTCTCCATTTTTTTTTAATATATTCCATCCTTGTGCTCAGCACATAAGGTAATCATTAAATGTTAATGACTAAGCGCAATGGAATAAAATCAGTGTTGTGGTAGCCATTTTTAAGCCTTAAGAGTTTAAATGAGCCAGCCCACGCACAGCACCACAGCTGGGAGCGCCATATTGCCATTAAGCCAGAAGGTGGATTCACGGGATGGGAACATTGAAAACAGACACCACAAGAATGGTTAAGTCAGTTTCCCAAACCACTTTCTACAAGTAGCTATTGCTTTTTTCCCCATAATAATTTCACAATAATTAGCCTGCTAGGTAAAAAATCCCAGGCAAAAAAAAAAGCACAACCACGACTGAGAGTCAGAGGAATTCAGGATAACCAGTAAGTACTGAGCCAAGGTTGGAGGTGATATGGACAATAAATAGGTAGAGCCATTCCCTATTGTCTAGTTAGCAATATAAGAGAACTGCCATCTGGATTTCTAGTATGAGCTCTACCTTTCAGAATAAATGCTTCTGTTCTTATCATTAGATTAATGAAGTCCAATCTCACATTCCAACACACATGAATATCAAAATGTTTATTTGGTGAGGAATAGCCTCTGATGCTATCTGCCTCTGCTTTCTTTTGCTTTCTTTGTTCCTAGCATGAAATTTTCTACTTTTTGCCAAAACCTTACTATGTAGCTTTTTAACTTAATTAAATATATAGGCAATTACTGACACCATCTGTCTTCATAGAAAAAAGCACAAGAAGTGACACAAAGGACTGGAATTCTGAAGGGAATACTTAGCAAACAAAAATCTTCCAGCTCCATGATAGTGATGTTTATTTTTAGGGGCCCTTATGTTCTTTTAAGACTTTAATGTTTTTCAGAAATAATGAATTTGGGCTATACTTAAGAAGTAGTGGCTTTGGTATGATTTTTAAAAAAAGAAAATATCAAGTAATCCACTGCTTTTTCAGTAAAACAAAAACTTAAACATGCCGTTGAACATCTGTTACTAGTACAGTCTATTACAGCACTTAAAATCCTTTAAAATCCCTGAAAATCTTTATAAAGTTACATGAATCTTTTGCATAAATAGAACTGTTTTAACCGTGTGTATATTCCTCTAAACATAGGTTTTGCTTCCTTAAACATAAGAGCCATTGTGTTGCCTATTGTTCCAAACCCTTAAAAATAAGAGAATGAAATGGCTTCCCTTCTTGAGAGAGTTGGTCTTCCCCTAGCACTGGGGTACCTCCCTACTTATATCTGTTTTTAAACTGTTTTTTCCATTTTCCTTTTGAGACATTTCCACAACTATCTCAAAACATAAATGATGTCAAACCTACCCATGGAAACATGATCAAGCAAAGGCAGGAACCAATACAAGTCCAACTAAAACAACAAAATTCACCTCCCTTGGGGAGATCATAGGCAGGAAATACACAGGAATTAGCAGGAAAAGAGCCACACGTGGCCCCAGAAGAACATGGAGTCCCCTGATGTTACCACTACGGAGGGCAACTGGGCTGTGCTGAAGCTCTTCCCTGAACTGGAAAATCGGGTTTTGAGTTTTTTGAACCCCATGTGGCAACAACGAAGGGTCCTACTCCCTGTAGAGAGAAGTGTGCAGGGCCAGAGGATGGCCCTCCAGAGGCACAATACAAAGGAGACACTTTTCAAAGGAATAGCTATGAAATTTCTATTCATATTAAAGACTTATGGTATACCAAAGAACATGCTCTCTCAGATTTGAGGAGGGAGGGGAATCAATGTATGTTCTTTGAAATGTTTTATTCACTCATTGATGATGGAAATAATGAAGTAATTTCATGATTACTTTCTACAAATTGCCTTGAGGTGCTGTGTAAAATGCTTATCAAATAGAAGTGGAGCTAGAATTAAGAGTTTACACCTATCTGCCATGACTGACGGGCCTTCTCGGGTCCTCTCTAGAGGATGAGGAGGAGAAGAGAGGAGAAAGGAAAGAAGGAAGGAAATACCTCCTTTGATTTGTTTCTTTCATTTGCTAGGAATTGAACCCCGGGGACCAAGGGTATTAGAGGGTATCAGTCACTTAAAAGCAGCGTCTGGGGTGAAGCTCAGAGGAGCAGAGCCCAAAGGGTAAGCCTGGGCTGAGGACACTTTCTCAGGGGACACTACAGGCTGATTTCCAGTCAGCAGCCTCTGCCCGTATATTCCTGGAAAGTACCACAGGACTTTTATTGATCACAGGTAGGAGCCTTGGCTTTTTGCCTGCACTGAAGGAAACATTTCCTTGTCCTTATACAACTCTTTGATTTCTGGCTCTCAAGTAATGGGCCAGGTGAGGCAGAAAGGCATTAAGTGACTTGCCCAAAGTCCCCAGTAAATCACAGGCCTTCCTCTAGCTTCAGTAATCGGTGGAGCATCTGCTCGCTCACATCTCACCAGGCATCCCTTTCCCTCCCCAGGGGGAGGATAATCTCTGAGGTGAAGCCTGGGAGAGGAAACCTGGACTTCAGAGTCAGGCACGTTGATCTGGATCCCAGATCTGCCACCCAGCTGTGGAACTTGGGCATGTTTCTGGGTTCTTTGAGCCTCTGCTTCCATTTCTATAAAATGAGGATGTTAGGCCCGACAGGCACGGCTCAGTGGCTGAGCACTGACCTTTGGACCAGGAGGTAATGGTTCAATTCCCAATCAGACCCTATCTATGCCCAGGTTGCAGGCTCCATCCCCAGTGTGGGATGTGCTGGAGGCAGCTGATAAATGATTCTCTCACATAATTAATGTTTCTATCTCTTTTCCTCTCCCTTCCTCTCTGAAATCAGATATATATATATATATATATATATATATATATATATATATATATATTAGGTCTAGTAATAATTAATATCGTTTTCTAATACTTTTTAAAATCGGATTTATTTAAACAATACAACAAAATTTAACCAACAATATAGTTGCTGTTGTTTTCTACTACTTGTGCCCAACGCTCAGGAAGCATTTTAATCCCTCTGTTGTAAAATTCTTGTGATTTTGATGCAAAAAATTCAGTCAATGCATTTTTGAGGCATTCTTCATTATTAAATTTTTTTCCAAGAAGAAAGTTTTGCAAAGAACGAAACAAATGGTAATCAGAAGGGGCAATATCAGGAGAATATGCAGGTTGAGGGAGAACTTCCCATTCCAACTGGCGCAGTTTTTCAGCAGTGATTCTTGCAGTATGCGGTGGTGCATTATCGTGGTGAAGAATTACGCCCTTCCGATTAATCAGCGCGGGTTCTTTTTCTCTTAAAGCTTGGGCTAACCTTTCCAATTGGGCACTATACACTGCACTTGTAATGGTTTGGGTAGATGGTAAAAGTTCATAATGAAGAATTCCTTTAAAATTCCACCAAACACACAACATCACTTTTTTCGCATGCAAGTCAGGTTTTGGCGTGGGCTGCGGAGCCTCATTTTTGTCCAACCATTGAGGCCGCCTTTTCAAATTAACATACAGCACGCATTCTTCATCTCCGGTAACAATTTGCTCTAAAAACGGCAAACGGTTTTGACGAGAGAGGAGCGAACTGCAAATTGTGACTCTTTGATTACGGTTGTTGTCGGTCAACTCATGAGGAACCCATTTTCCAAACTTTTGGACTTTGCCAAGTGCACGCAATTGATTGGAAATTGTTTTTTGTGAACAATTTAAAATTGTCGCAAGCTCTTGTTAGGTAATTTGAGGATTTTGCACCAAAAGAGCTTGAAGAGCTTCTTGATCAAAATTGGACACACGGCCTCGACCACTCTTGTCTTCTAACGAAAAATTTCCCTTGCGAAATTTCTCAAACCAACGCTGGCATTTTCTGGCGCTAACTGCATCTTGACCAAGAGCACTACAGATGTTTTTTGCAGCCTCACTTGCTTTTCTTCCTAATTGGAACTCGTAAAGCATGCAGTGCCGAATATGCTCTTCATCCGCCATCTTCTTAGCCCTAGTTTTGCAACAAAAACCAAACCAAACACAAACTTTTTCAAGCAAAACTTGTTAATTGCACTTCACACGTTCTGTAGATACCACGTGTTTGAAGGTTATGTCAATACAAGTCAACGCCAAGCAAGATTTTAAACGAATGTTTAAAAACGACATTAATTATTACTAGACCAGATATATATATATATATATATATATATATATATATTAACGAGGATGTTAATATTCACTTCACAAGGTTGTGAGATGACATGAGAAAATACTCACCAGAGTGCCTTGTACATAATAGACCCTTAATGTACATTAATTTCTGTTCGATTTTCCTTCCATAGTTTTCCCTCCTAGAGTCTGTCCTCCATATAGTCAAATCAGCAGCTTCCTAAATATTGCTGCCATCAATAAAGAAAGCATATTGGCTCCCTTGGGTGCCAAATCTTTCAAACACCAGAGTCCATGGGCAACAAAGGCAAAATCCTAGGATCCAGATTCATGTCTTAGATAACCAACTCCAAAAGGTTCCATAAACAGCCCTCCACAGTCAGCAAAGGATCAGAATTTATTGGATTAACATGATGGGGATAAGGAAGTGTCCCATGGGGCTTGGGGGACGGGGCTCCTCAAACCACAGAAGCCAAGCCAAAGTGCTGGGAGAACCCTGGAATGAGCAATAGGAAGGAAGAAGAAAGTGGATGTGTGACTGACCCAGCTGGTCTAGATTTGACCAGGCCCAGCCCTACTCAGTCCAGGAGCTGTTACAAAATGAAAGCCTGTGATGGGGAGCAGGAGGAAATCTACTGTCTTTTAGAAAAGTGACATTGTGTCCACACTGTGTCCTCAGAGCTCAGGGAGTCTTTTTTCAGATGCTAATATACCGTATTTTTCAGACCATAAGACGCTCCGGACCATAAGATGCACCAGTTTTTAGAGAAGGGAAATGAAGAAAAAAAGATTCTGAAACAAATAGTGTCCTAAAATATTTTATGTGCATTAAAACCCAACATCACAGTCATAAACACATGTAATCAAACCTGTAAAGTAAACAGCAGCATTTAGAACCATTTTAGAGCAGGGCAAGCACACAGAGACCACACAGAGCCGGGCAAGTAAAAAAACTTTTTTTAAAAAGTATATGTGTAGGCTATATTTGGACCATAAGACACAGGGACTTTTCCCCCCCACTTCTGGGGGGAAAAAAGTGCGTCTTATGGTCCGAAAAATACGGTATTATCCCTTTCAGCTCATGGCTGCTCATTGGGCCTCAGTATTAACCTGGCTGGGCACTGGTTTGCTTCAGGGTAGGTAGCAGATATTTTTTATCTGCATGGAAATGCTTTTTAGGGCATAGGCTTGAAGAATGCTGGAATAAATTCAGAGGGCAGTTTGGAAGGTGGTTTATCAAGGGCCCTTCATTCAGTCATTATTTACACTAGTAGTGTAAACAAGTGGCCATGCATATTGTGCAGGTGTTCTTCCAAAAATGGGTCTTCTGGAAACTGGAGAGGGAGGGAGGGAAGGAAGGGGAGGGAGAGAGAGAGAGAGAGAGAGAGAGAGAGAGAGAGAGAGAGAGTTTGTAACATCTCTATTGAGATATCACATGCCATAAAATTCACTCTTTTGAATATACTAATGTAGTTTTTAGTATATTCACAGAATTATACAGCCATCATCAGTATCTAATTTTAGACCATTTCTCTTACACACACACACACACACACACACACACACACACACACACACACACAAATCCCTGAACCTATTAGAAATCATTCCCATACTCTCTTCTCTATGTCTATGGATTTCCCTTATCTTGGAGATTTCATATAAATGGGATTATCCACTTTGTCTTTTGTGGCATAATGCTTTCAAGGTTCATCATGTTATAGCATGGATCAATGCTTCATTCTTTTAAGTGACCAAATAATAGTCCACCATGTGGATGTACCATATTTGTTTATCTGTCAATCAGTTGATAGACATTTGGTATGCCTCTACTTTTTGACTATTATAATGTTACTAGGGGCCCAGTGCACAAATTTGTGCACCTTGAAAGGAATGTGGGCCATGATGCTGCAATGGGTACAATCTGCCCACCCTCTGAACCCCTGTCTAGCCCCTCTTCCACCTCCAGTCCGCTGTCTACCAGCAGCCCTGCTCCCACAGCTGCTCCCACACGCTGACAGTGCTGGCCCCACTCACACCTGCTGATGGTGCAGAACCATTGGAGCCGGCACCAGTAGTGGGTATGAGTGGTGGCTCTGGTATAACTGCAGGTGTGAGCAGTGCTGGCACCAACAGAGGGTGCAAGAGGTGGCCATTGGCCCTGATTGCCCCTAAGGAGCAGGAAGAGGTGGAGAAGCCCTCAGGGGTGATGAAAGCCAGAAGCCGCTGCTCACACACACTGATGGCACTGAGCGATTGGGGCTGGCACCAGGGTGTGAGCACCAGGCAGAACCGTGTCATACAGGAGCAAAGAATTTTCAGTAACCACCAGAGGCTCGCCCTGATGACAGCAACTGATGCCTTGCCTTGGTCTGGTGCCCCCACTCATCTGCTTCACCATCCCGCCACAGTAAATGCCTGCCATGTTTCATATGCACCCCTTGGTGGTCAGTGCACGTCATAGCAACTGGTTGTTCAGTTGTTCTGCCATTCGGTTTTTTGCATATTAAGGTTTTCATGTACAAGTTTTGGGTGGACCTGGTTTCATTTTTCCTGATTATACATAGGAGTAGGATTGATGGGTCATATGGTAGCTAAAAGTTTAACTTTTTGAGAAACTACCAAACTGTTTTTTAAAGTGGTTGCACCATTTCACAATCTCATTAGTAATGTATGAGGTTATAATTTCTTCATATCTTTGTTAATACTTGTTACTATCTTTTTTAATTTCAGCCATCCTGGTGGGTTTGAATGGTATTTCTTCTCTCTGTGTTTTAAATCTTTTTTGTGCATACATATCAGGCAGATATGTATGCACAAAGATTTAAAACACAGATAGAAGAAATACCATTCAAACCTGGTGGGTTTGAATGGTATTTCTTCTATCTGTGTTTTAAATCTTTGTTGTGCATACATATCAGGCAGATATGTATGCACAACAAAATCTTTGTTGTGCATACATATCTGCCTGATATGTATGCACAACAAAGATTTATTGTGCATACATATCAGGCAGGGATGCTGAATGCAGAGATTAATAAGAAGTCCCTGTTTTCTATCTAATTCTCCTCTCAAGGAATTTCTGAATGTAAACAAACTTGCCTTGGACTTGAAGTCATGAGCTCTGAATTCTAGTCTGAACTCAACTCCTGACCAGGTCTCTTTCCCTCTTGAGACTCGTGCTTAGAATTTGAGGTGGGCTAGACAGGCCAGTTCCAAGGCCATCGCTCTGACATTCATGTTTCTTGTGTACAGACTCTGCGACCAAGGTAGTTCTTTGTAAAAAATACACTGACTGGCCAGATTATTATGAGCACCTGACATTTGTAGGCAAATTAGGTGAACATTGAATTGTATGGGATATGGAAGCCGTAGGCCTGTTCAAACACCTTTGCTGTCTGCAGTTACCAAGATAAAACATCTCCAATTCACATAGGAACACAAGGATTGGACAGTCCAGCACTGGGGGGAAAAAGTCATGTGGTCCGATGAATCATGTTTCCAGTTGCATCATGCAGATGGCAAAGTGAGAATTTAATGGAAACAGAATGAAAGCATGCACCCCACATGCATGAGTACAACCCTTAAAGCTGGTGGGGGTAGTGTTATGATTTGGGATATGTTTTCCTGGCATGATTTGGGCCCTTTAATTCATGTGGAACAACATCTGACTAGCCCAACATATCTAAGTATCATTGCTAATCAAGTTCATCCTATCATGTTGATGGTGTATCTCAACAATGGAGATGGCTTCTTCCAACAAGACCATGCCATGGTGCTCATATTGTGCAGGAGTGGTTTCAAAAACATGAGGGAGACTTTACCTTGCTTAGGTGGCCCCCACAATCACCAGATCTCAATCCAATTGAGCATTTGTGGGATGAAGTTAAAAGAGCCATCAGGCAGCTGGTTCCACAACCATCAAATCTCACAGAACTGGACAGTGCTATTCATCAGGCATGGTGTCAGATTCCTCCCATCACCTTTCAACATCTCGTGGAGTCAATGCCAAGAAGAGTCGCTGCAGTATTGAAGGCAAAAGGTGGCCCAATGAAGTACTGATGGGGTGGTCATAATAATCTGGCCGTTCAGTGTATTCAGGTATGTGATTTTCCAGAGCTGTGAGGGAACTGGGGAGGAAAGGCGAACTCTGTGCCAGCTCGTTGCGCTGCTGGGACCAGTGGGCCCATCCTCATCGCACTTTGCCTGGCAGGCCTCCACCCCGCAGAGTCCTCCTGAGGGGAGCTACAGGACAGGAGCTTTCTGCTTTGAAAATCATACAAAATCTTTTCAGAGATTATTTATAGTGACTTTGAAGGAATACTTCTCAACTGAGCAAATCACTCACCAGCCCTGACATTTACGTTACAGCGTGAAAATTAAAGGAGGAGAATAACTATCTACTATCTACAGTATGGGTTATTGTATTGAGTTGCTGTAGAAGTAGCATTTACAATTACTGGTCCTAGAAACCTGATAGGTTATAACAATTGGGTTTTCATGTTTAGTGCTTAATGTCAAAATATGAGAGTGGTCTTCCCAAAATTCATCATAAAAAAATAAGGAAATACTTAAAAAGTAATGAGCATTTCTGTATGTTAAAAATACAAATAATATAAAACAATAATACAAACAATATCAGTGAGGCCATCAGTCTAAAAAGTAATAGAGGGGGATGGTAAATGTATAGAGGAAGAAGAAGGCACTTGAAAAAGGAAGCAGAGAAAGCAAGGGTATTTGAAGAGATTTGTGATATTTTTATAAAATTGGAAAACATAAATGTTATTGTTAATGATGCAAGTTTAATTTCAATATTTTCCATTTTGGATACCCACATTAATCTTGAATATTGTTCCTGCATATCCTGAAAATTTTCTCAAAGTCACAAAGAAGCTCCTTGCACTACGAAGAAATCAGGCTGTTAATGCTGCTAATTCAGAGTCATGGACAGAGCTGGCCAGGAGCCAGAAAACTTGGGCTTTGATCCCAGCTCTTCCCCTAACTGAGGGACCTGAGGGAGTGAGTCCCCTCCCAGAGTCCTCCCTCATCCATAAATGAGGGTGTGGGAATGTCAGAGGTCATTTTAGGTCTGTAGACAGAGATGTTTAAGACCTCTCTGAGCTCTGCGTGTTTTTCATTTTAGAAATTCCATCACCTACGCGCTATCAAATGCATTAAAAGCACTCTCATGGAATAAAGATAACTGTCACAATTGTGTTGCATTTAACTGACATGTCAATGTGGTTGATCTCTTTTAAATTTATTGTTATTTTTGCAATTTTCTTATTTGGAAGCCAGTAACTTTTTCCCCCCAGAATCCAAACATTTTGAAGGCCTTTTAAAATCATGGAGGCCCGAGGCATGGTGGACTCTGAGCCCTGAACGTTCAGTGACAGGGCCCCGATGTTTTGCTGCCTCTGGCCCCGGAGTCCAAAGGCCCAGTATAAGGCAGTGTCCAGAGTGGATGGTGCAGAGAATGGTTGCTCTCTAGTTCCTCAGAGACAGCTTCATGGAGCAGTTATTTAAATCGTGCCTAGAAGGATAAGTAGTATTAATAGAGGCAGAGGGGAAGGCCTCCAATATGAATACTAAGAGTCTCAACAGTTGATCCGGGCCCAGGATGGCAGTCCCATACCACAGAGACCGCAGTTCTTTGCCTCTGCAAGAGACTGGGCCATCCCAGCAGCTGCCACTAGGTGGCAACATGCCAAGAGGCTGCAATCCCCTCTTCCTATGGATCTTTTTACGGATTTTAAACAATTCTTAATAGATATCATAATAACATTAACATTGTATTAACTGGAAATTATTACAGTGCACTGTACCACTCTCTTCAAAATGAAGTATCAGGTGTGTTATTTACCACAATGGAGAGCTTGATGCTGCCTGGCGATTGAAAGATCAAATGCGAAGAGACTTCACTAAAAAAGTATGCTGTCAACCTGAAAGCCAGGGTTCTGAGGCTTGTTTGTCAACAGCATCTGGGAAGAGGTGAATGTACTCACAGCTTTTGTAAAGTGGCGAGAACACTAAAGTCAAGAGCCAGGCAAGGGAGTTCCTACGCCTGCCCGGGGCTGTGTTCCTGATAGTCACACAGGTTTGTGCCTGCCAGACCCAGATATGTTGTAGTCACCAACCCTCACAAGCCCTCAGAGATAAAGACCATCACTGATAGGTCTGCCTTCATAGACGAGGAAACGGAGGGCCAGAGAGGAGAAGGAAGTTGAGATCACACAGACAGGGAAGGGCAAGGTCATCTCTCCCACTGAAGTCAACTCTGGTCCAGTGTTCTTCCCATTCAGACGAAGTCACTTGCCTCCACCATTTCTTTTACCCTCTGTTATCACCATGTCGGTCCAGCCATCATCGGCTCCCATCCAGGTTACTGCAATAGCCTCCTAACTGGCTGGCCCCCCTGTTCCCATCCTTGACCCCTCATGGTCCCTTCTCACCACAACCCCCTTTAAAAATATGTCAGATCAAAACCAACAAAAGAAGATGAAGAGGAAGAAGAAGAAGGAGGAGGAGGAGGAGGAGGAGGAGGAGAAGGAGGAAGAGGAGGAGAAGGAGAAGGAGGAGGAGGAAGAGGAGGAGAAGGAGAAGGAGGAGGAGGAAGAGGAGGAGGAAGAGGAGGAGGAGGAGGAGGAGAAGGAGAAGGAGGAGGAGAAGTCAGATCATGTCAGTTCTCTGCTCAACACTTCCCAATGGATTCCCAACAGCCTCCACCGTTGTAAACAAGAAATAAGCTAAGCCCTTGGCTCTACTGCAGCCAAATTAGTAAGGACTGGGGGAACCTTGGCCTACCCACAGATGTCCTGCCCAGCAAGCAGAGGAGCGGGCAGGTGACCTGGCCTCTACAGCTTCAGCATAGCTACAGGGACCGTGGGTCTGACTGAGGGCTTGGTCTCGCTCTAGAAAAAAACAAGTGGCCCAGCAGGGTTTTCTGTCAGGTTGGGACCGCTGAGGAGGTGGGCTGTGCGGCACCCTCTGCACTCGTTTGCCATCCCTGTGGACAGTGGAATCTCAGCCTGCATCTTTCAGTTGCCTTTATTTGAGGACCAGTGTCTTCAAAAATTCTCCACGAGTGAGAAATGTTCACAGTCCCCAGTTAGCCTCACTGATGCGCCTGGAGGCAACCGAGGGAAGGTCCACCAGGGCTGGTATCCTGTGATCAGTTGAGGAAAGTGCAGTCCAAAGAGGTGACCTGTCGAGGATCACAGCTATTTGTCTCAGACCCTGGTACCAAGGGCTGGGGCCTTCAGCAAGTCACCCTCCTGAGCCTCTGGGAGGAGGAGGAGGAGAAAGAGGAGGAGGAGGAGGAGGAGGAGGAGGAGAAAGAGGAGGAGGAGGAGGAGGAGAAAGAGGAGGAGGAGGAGGAGGAGGAGGAGGAGGAGGAGGAGGAGGAGGAGGAGGAGGAGGAAAGAAAACCTAGAGATGGGTCTGCAAAGCATCTATAGATTCTTAAAGCTCTGAAATTCTAGAGTAATAAGTCTCTAGGTCCCATCCCTGCCCTGATGCCCATAAGAGGAGGTTGGCAAGACTGAACCCTTTGCCACAGAACTTTATTTGCAGTTGGAGACAGCCACAGAATATAGGGCCTGGGCACATCTGCCTGCATCTGCACGCTCTGCCACCCATCCATCCTGCCTGTCACAGGCGAGAGGCAGAAGCAGCCGGGGTGAGCAGGCGGCCTCCATCTGCCTGGAACACCTAAGGCACAAAGGCCTCTCTGCCTCTCCTCCCCACACAGAAGCACCCCAAAGCTTGTGGTCCAAGCAGGGCGCAGAGCTGGGAACAGAACAATTCTGGGCAAGTTGGCCTCTGCCTGACCCTGTCTTCCGGTTCTCACTCGCTTTTGTAAGAACAATGAGGTTGCTGTAGTTTCTTGGTTTTCCCTTCTGCCCTGTGTTCTGGCCCTTCTGCCCCAGGCCTCTTGAGGCAGCTGCGGTGAGCCCAGCATCCAGGCGAGGGCAATGGAGAGCCGGCCTCCTCAGCACTCCTCCCTACCAACTCTCCTGGCCCTGCCCCTGGGAGAAGTGCCTCTCGACCAACCCAATCGAAATAGAATGTAAGCCACATGTGTCGTTTTTATTTTCTGTAGCCTCGTTTAAAAATAAGTGAACATATTTCATTTAACATAACCCAAATGTGATCATCAAACATGTAACCAGCATAACATATTTATGAGATATTTCACATTCTCTGTATCTCCTTCGTCTTCGAAAGCTGGTGTGGGTTTTACGTGTATGGTACACCTCAGTTTGAATCACCCACATTTCAAGGCCTCATATTAGATATGACTAGTGGCTTCCATATTAGATAGTGCTGATCTAGGAATTCATGAAAGTCCATATAATTTGCACTTGCCATAATTCTGCAAGTATTAACAATAGCCTATTCACATTTTGTTATATGCTCATCTAGTCTTTTCTATGCATAATATTATTTTTGCAAAGTGGAAGTCACATTGGCCCTACGACTTTAAATCCTTCCCTTTCTATTTTGTGGTATCTTGTTATGTCATCAAACATTATTCACAGTCATTATCTTCAGTGATAAGACCATAGACCAGCCTATCACTGGAATGTGTCATAAGCTTCTTAACCAAGGCCCAGATGTTGGACAGCTGCAATTTTTCAATATGACAAGTAATGCTGAGATGAGTATTTTCATGTTGCTTGTGCTTCTCAAGGCCTCGATGTAAATCTCTCCGGTATTCCAGCCATTTTTAACAAGATGATTTTTGAATATCATCAGTCAAACAATATCAACAAGTGATTTATGACTGGGAGTTGAAATACCTTGGTTTCTCATCCCACACCTTGCTCTGTAACCTAGGGCAAAGCACTTCTCAGACCAGAGTCGCTCCATTTATAAAGTAAACTGATTGTATTAGATGGTTTTTTAAGGGTCTTTCTAGCTCTAACCTTCACCCTCTCCCTCTCCCTCACATCTAATCAATTAATCTGTCAAGCTAGTCATTACAAGTCTTGCAAGTCATATTAAAGCCACTCCTAAACATTAAAAAACCCACCCACTTCTCCCCACCCCTGCTCACAGCACCTTTGTACAGGCTGCCATCCTCACTCATCTGACCTGTGATGGTGCATCCAGAGTGAACACTGAAGTCCAAAATCAAGAACAGGATTCATGAGATGTGTGTGAAAGCGGGGGGCTGGCACCGAGGAGATGCCCAGTGAATGTTTGCTGCATTTGAATCTGAATCCAGCGTCAGGAGACCCACCCTGTTCCTGAAAGGCTGCCAAGGAGTTCACGGTGAAGGGGGAGCCTAGCCCTGCCCCGGATCCTGGGTGCTGTGGGTGCTGTGGGTGCTGTGGGTGCTCTGGGTGCTGTGGGTGCTGTGGGTGCTGTAGATGATGTGGATGCTGTGGGTGCTGTGGGTGCTGTGGGAAGACAAAGACTCTGCAGCTTCCCCAGAGGGGCTGGCAGTCTAGAGGGGGAGATAGGAGACCCTGTACACAAAACAAGCCTGCCTCAGGCGATGTCTGCAATGGGAAATCCAGATGGAGAGCAGAACAATTATCTGAGCAATTCAGGCAAGCCTGCTGTTGATGAAAGGCTTAAAGAAACGCGGTCTGTTTCTTTTGTGAACCCAGGGTGAGGGCAGCCTGGGGAAGCCAGAGGACTTGGCTCTGGAAGACCAGCACTCTGGCCTGTGTCTGTAATCTTAGGCAAACTCTGAAGTTCCCTATTGTTTTTAATCCTCACCGAGGATATGTTTGTTTTTGGTTTGATTTATAAAATGGATTTTTAGAGAGAGAGGATGGAGGCATGTGGAGAAAGAAACATTGTGGCTGACCGGTGTGGCTCAATGGTTGAGCGTTGACCTATGAACCAGGAGGTCACGGTTCAATTCCCAGTCAGGGCACATGCCCGGGTTGCAGGCTTGATCCCCAGCTTGGGGCATGCAGGAGACCGCCGATCAATGATCCTCTCTCATCATTGATGTTTCTGTCTCTCTCTCCCTATCCCTTCCTCTCTGAAATCAATAAAAAACAATAATAATAATAACATTAAAAAAAAATAACATTGATATGGGAGAGAAACATCAGTCAGTTGCCACCTGGATATGCCCTAAACCTAGGTATGTACCCTGACAGGAAAGAAAACCCATGACCTTTTGGTGTACAGGACGACGCTCCAACCAACTGAGACTTCCAGCCAGGGCCTGAAGCCATTGTTTGATCTCCGTATCTTAGTGGTCAAATGGAGTAGCAGTGATTCTCAACCTTCCTAATGCCGCAACCCTTTAATAGATTTCCTCATGTTGTGGTGACCCCCAATCATAAAATTATTTTTGTTACTACTTCATTACTGTAATTTTGCTACTGTTAATGAATTATAATGTAAATATCTGTGTTTTCCGATGGTCTTAGGCGACCCTGCTAGTGGTTCTCTACCTGCTACACTGAATTGTGAGATTGCACCCCATGATTATGAATGGGGAAAACAGTATTAAATGGAGCAATCTAATAGCTACACAGGCCACTAAAAACATGTCTCCTAAGGTCCTACTCTCCTACAGGAAACGTTCAATAATTGTAAATGACATTTGTATCGAACTTTATCATGCGATAGGCAATTTTATGTGCATTTATTCTATTTTGTTTCCAAAGTCCCATAAATGTTGTCATTTGCTCCTTTTATACTTAAGGATAGTGAGATGGAGGGAATTAAATAAGTCATTCAAGTTTACACTGTCTGTGAGGGCTGGATGCAGGCCCTCTGACTCCCTGGTTCTCACTCTTTCCCTTACATGGGTGACCTCATTAAAATCCTTATCACCAAAGCATTAATGTCATTCACATAAATACTCATTACATTTGCTGTATTTACTTCCCTTTGATCAGGACACTAAAACACCAAGCTGAGGGATCTGAAAATATTGCCTGACATGTGAGAACAGCACGTTCACTCTCTGGCGCTAAGGAGAAGTGGCTGTCCCCATCTGATCTGCATTGTATGCCATCCAGCAGGAAATATCCAAGTTGACAAATAGGATATTTACAGCTGCAACAGATACTTGGCAGTTAGTTTTCAACAATTGTTGCAAATGTGATTTATTTGCTATTATAAAAGGGCATTGCTGTGCGAATATGACTCCTGAAATTAGCTTCAGTTTAGCAAGGGGCCCTGACAGCTTGACCTCCTAATATCCTTATAATGACGCCATTTACATTCAATGCTTACTCAAGTCACTCACTGCTAGATTTGTTTGAGAGGAGTCCACTCCAGGGCAGACACATTATGTATCTTACCATACCGAGTTGGTGTGGGGGGCACAGGGAGGCCTTCTAAGAGGGAAGAAAAATGTTTAATCAAGTCCCTCTGAAAATGTGTTGGTTTCCAACTTCCTACAGTGAAAATGCATTACTGCTAATTACAGCATACTCCAGAAATACCATACTTCATGTTTTCTCCACAAGACACTGCCGTGGCGTGGATTATATTAAACAAGAACGTGTTTTGATCCTCGGCGACTTTCCCTTTTAACTTGACTGGGAAACTGGTACAGGCAAAGGATCGGGTGGGCCGAGAGCAACGCCGTCGCCTCCAGCAGGGAACGGGAAGAGGGTGGGCCAGAAGCCAGGCAGAACTGGGTTCAAGTCCCAGCGCCACCCCTTCCTAGCTGTGTGGAACTGGGTGCCTCTCTGAACCTCTGGTTCTTCCTCTGGGACATGGGGGTGCTATGGTTGAGGGCGTTACAACGATCTGAGGTGGGTGTGAAGCACCTGGCATGTTGTAGGCACTTGGGAGGCGGTCATGTTTGTGCTGCTTTTCAAAGCTCAAATGTCCCTTCTCCATGATGCAGCCCTGACTTCACTAGACAAACACAGTCTGTCCCTTCTTTCCGCCTCAACAGCGCTTGGCTCTGCCCCTTTATAATATCGAGTGCTGCATTGTGCTGTAATTCATTGACTACGTATGTTTCTGGGCTCCCGTCTTGATCGCAGGACTTGTCCTATTTACCTTTGACACCCCTGTGCCTAGCAGAATAATATGCCCTGAGCATCGAACTGAGGAGGACTCGAGGGTGCGCTGGCTTCCGTGTGGGCCTGAGGATAACAAGGGCAAGCAAGGGGATGGGAGAGGTGGCACATGACCCACTTTTGCCACCTCTAGTGTGGCACACAGCAGATGCTCAGTAAATATCTGTCCAAGGAATGAATGCCGGTCACTAAGCACTAGCTTACAGTAACATACTGTTTACATATGTCTACTTTTGAAGCATTTTCATTTTTATTGGGTCATGGTGTTCTTCTAACAATCCTGCAATGCAGCGTGGGTGGGTGTTATCATTGTTTCCTGGTTGAGGATACTCTGGCATCGTGGGGTGGCAAAGTAACTTTCCTGCATCTGATGGTAAAGCAGTGGTGGAACTAAGACTTCCATGCCAACCTCGTTTACCGTAAATGTCACATTGACATTCCCCCCCGAAATCAGGGCAAACTGCCCTTTTCTCATATTTGCTCACTCTTCCCCTCCCTTTTGCTGCCCTCTCGTTGCCCATCCCCTCACTGTCCAGTCTCACTTCTCATAGAAAACATTGCACTGACCATCTCAGAAATGGCAGACAACACGCAGGCAACTCCAAGTCCACAGGGGCCCCGTGGCCCAGGGCATAGCGAGCAGAGTGTCTTAGCCAGGTGTTTCCCCTTGGGGAACTCCCCGCAAGAACCTTGAATCTTTTCATCCCAACCAGACTGGAGGGGCCATCCCTCCGCTGCAGGAAGTAGAAACAGAAGCAAGAACATCCACACTCTGGTTCAGTTGGGTCTCGGTGGTTTGGGCGGGGCTGATGGGCGTGGCTTTCTCCCCCTCGTGGTTGATCTCACTCACCCTCCTGTTTCAATCAGGTGTGGGCCACAGGCCTCAACCTCGCATACAGCGACCAGCTGGCCCTGACTCAGCTCGTCTTGTACATGACCAACGGCCACCTGGATTGCAGTATGAGCACCCTTACCGTGCTCCCCCGACCCCCCAAGAAAGAGAAGAAGAGCCACCTTACTCCCCTGTGCATGCCGGTAAGCCACAGCAGCCGCCTGGCGCTCCTGTGTTCGGCAGCCCTGGGCCGCCGCTTCCTGAGCTGGCGGTGTGCCAGGCTCTTCCATTTTAGAGGGAGGAAAGAACCTCAGGCAAGTCACTTAATGTGTGTCTGGACCATAAATGCACAGGTCAAAGGAGAGGGGAGAGGGCATTCCAGAAAGAGGAAGGTCTGCGTGGGAGGGGGAGAGCGTGGGGTGTTCCAGGGTTACATCTGTGTGGGGTTTCCCTCGGTTTTCTTCTCAGCTCACTGCCTGGGGCAAGAACATCTGCTTCCATTACCAGCAACTTCGGACAAAACCCAGATTTTTCTAACCCCAATTTTTCTTCAGATTTCTAGACCCAATATATTCTGCAGAACTTCCCTAGCAAGTCCTCCTGGTCAAACTGTCATCTCCCTTCCCTATCCTGCCTCTGGAGGGGTCAGGCCACAGGCCTAAGGGCACCCCTATCCGCATGTCAATCAGCAGGTCCTGGGGCTGGCGGAGTCTGCCAACCTCAGGTTCCTGGGTGACAAAGGGTCTCCATGGGGACAGTGGGCTAGGTCAGTCATGGAGAAGGAGATCAAACATCAAGAGGCCAGATGGGTCTCAGTGTGGGTGGGATATGAGAGGGGATGGGGCTTGGTCACCACTGCTCTGACAGCTGCCAGAGATTTCTTCTGCCTCAAAATAGTGGGCTTCGTACCCTTTTTGCCTAGGAAGCTCTACTTGAGGTCCAAATATATCTAACAGATGAAAGAGGAATTCCAGTGGTTAACAGGACCCCACACGGATACCCTAGAGCACATGTGTCAAACACAAGGCCCGCGGGCCAAATCCGTCCCGCCAGGCCTTGCAATGTGGCCCGCACCGCGCTGTCATCACTGCACTCCGCTGCGTTTCCATCACAATGACAGTTTATGACTGTTCAGTAAACCATTCGGCCCGCGATTTAGGCTGGATTTTAGATTTTGGCCCCTTCTCTGATTGAGTTCGACACCCCTACCCTAGAGGTCACTTTTCTGAGAAATATCTCCTGCCTCTACTGAGCCTCTCTGGGTCCCGGAGATGCCTCTGGACTTAAAAGCCCTTGTTTGACAGTCCCCCAGGGTCCCCAGCGTCACCCTCCTTGCAGGAAGGCAGTGTACATTTGGAAGGCTAGCCTGGAGAAGGTGCCAGATGTCTTGGGGGACTAAGGTAGTAGCC